TATATATATACATATACATATAATTCGACATTAGATTTTAACAATGTATTTCGTATAATGCATATTTTTTCTTCAATATTGGTGCTTTCTGTCAGAAAAAAATATTTCTCGATTGTTTATTACGTTTATCCTATCTTGTGGAGAAAAGTTTCTCTATCTTGATTAAAAAATGACATGATACTTTATGGCATTCGCGTGTTTTCCCACTGCGCGTGCATTATTTATGTTAATGCATTCGGAAAAATTTCTGCTGCGATCGTACATACATACCTATCAGGACGCGCATCATTAGCATCACTTCTTGACAAGTCGTTCAACGCGTGTCAGATAACGCAAATACGAGAAAGAAACCTATCTCGGGTTCGACCTTTAAATGTCTACGTGAAGCACTTTCCGCCCCATACTCGCCATTTTGATTGCGTTACATTTTGCGAGTTGAAATACAAAAATGCGAGTAATTATACATGCGATACTTCTGAAAGAGAACATTGCTATGGTTTATGAAATAGTCTTTCGGAACAGAGACGAAGTAAAATTTAATTATATTGAAAATGATACGCTAATTTTTTAAGTTATGCAGGTAATGTCAATTTTTTCATTTAGATTATTGAAACAATTTGATCTATAATTTAATCTTTATTTTATAAATTGCGAAAAAAATCTCTAAATTTATTACATTCAGATTTCTATATATTTATATTTATCTCAATCATGTAGAAAAATTATTTTATATATTGATTATAACATATAAGATTATTATTTTTCTAACGTAATTTAACTTATAATTACTAATTTGTAATCTAAGTAATTATTACGATGATCCTTGCCTACGAGTGGCAACGGTCGTTATAAAATTGTAGTGTTCCGTTCGGTACGTAATATCGGCGTCACCGGAAACTCAGCTAAACAGGTGTTTGCGCCAGCTGCGATTGCCCTCGCTATACTTCGTCACGAATCTCTTCCGTCCCTGTCTTCGTCTTTACCTTGTCTTGACTCGTTCGCTTCCATCGTTGCTTTCTAAAAGGCTGCTAGTTATTCTCGGCGCTGCATCATATAGACGAATTCCACCTTCGTGAATTCGCTTTCCGTAAAAGAGCAGGAGGAGGAGGAGGAGGAGGAGGAGGAGGAGGAGGAGGAGGATTTCCATCCTCCAAAGCACTGTTATCCGCATCTTGATAATTAATATCGAAAAATTATGTAGATAACAATAAATATACCATTATTTTATAATCTAGAAAACTTGATAGAATAAGAATGATAGCAATTCTGCACTCAGGGAAGTTGAGATATTTATAAGTATAATTATGTTACTATAATTATGATTATTACGTTTTAGTGTTAGTAATAACTACATGTATAGTTCAATCAACGAATTATACCTGTAGACAACATCGAAAATGACTATAAACTATATCATTAAATTATAAATATTATAACCATTTTTAATCATTTGTAGTCATTTTAGTGCCAATATATATTTATTAATTAGGACTATACATATGGTTGTTACTATTAACATTATAGCAATAATAATCATATAATTATGGTAACAATTATGTCAATGCTATTATATAATTATGGTGATATGTAATTACACTGTAAAAAACAGAATGTTAATTTTAACTTAAAGACCTATAATGGATTTTCTGAGACATACAAAAATGTTAAAATTAACGCAAAAATGTTAATTGTACACTGTAAAAGATTAATATAAAAAAGATTAATGTAAACACGCTCTATAAGAAAAATTATACACTATGTACAAAAAAATTATATATAATTTTCTCTTACAATTGCCAAGTGTGCCACGCGATGAAATTGTTTACAAATTAGATTAGTATCCTATTATACTGAAGCGATTGAGAAAGAAGGGATGTTAAAATTTAATCCAAATAAGATACTAGATATTCCAACAGACCTTTTGATCCTGCTGATTTGGTCCTGCTAACTTAATAAAGATAAAGAAAGAAGTTTATGCTAAAATTAATGCTGACATTCTGTTACTTCGTTGTGGGAACGTTTTACCCGTATCTTGTATGAATATACATTTGGAACTAACCGGACGATAATTTTGCTTTTCAGCGTGGAACGGGACCGGCTTCGGGAGCGAGAACGACTGGCCCGCGTGGCGATGTCGGTCCATGCGGAGCAGGCGACTGCGGGAAGTGGTCCTGATATGAGACACCATCATCATCACCATAACCACGCGCATCATCACTCCAACATACATCTCTCCACGCATGATGCTCTTTCGCTCTTCCGTGCCCCCGTTAGGGTGAATATATTTGCCATTTATTTTACTTTGACGATCGGCGAAAAATCTTTTTTTTTTCGCTACTATTTGTTTCTGCATGTATTCGCGTACGGCGATATTGATCATCTTTTTTCGCAAATATCTGACGAGCACTTACTCGTTTCAGAAAAACGTAAAAGATTTTCCTTCTGTTTTTTTTTTTTTTACTTCTAAAAATATTCACGAAGAGTTTAGTCATTCTGTTTAAATGTTAAGTCATCGTTATTAATATTTGCACGTTGATTTTTTATGTGACTAATATTTTTAAATATAGCTACGTCAGTGTGTCGCGAACTAATCTAACTAACGCTGTATTATGATGAAATATTTTCGCGAATGTAAATTAAAACAGCTACTGTCTGCCGACCATTAATTTGTTATCAACGATAATACTTTTTTCTCCTTTTTCCTCTCTTTTTTGATAAAGAGAACAGCGTCATGTGTCAGTTAAATTGACACACCGAACATTTTGCGGTCTTTTTTTTCGGTGAGATGATGCCAAAAATGTTTCTATACGGGGAAATGAAGGTAGCGACGAATACCAGCCTGTCGATCAATTTCGCCGCACACGATTGCATCTCGCCGCGCGTCCGTTTAACGATCGTACCGAATTCTAAAACGAGCTTGTGAGTTTATTTTCTTTTATTAAATACCATTTTATTAAGCGCTACTGTTTGCTATTTGCGGTGGTTGCAAAGTTACGAATAATTAATGAGCGAAAAAATCGGTCTGACGTTTCTTACGATTTTTCTCTCTTGTCATATTTATTCAAGCAGAATAACCCAACTTCACGTTGTCTGATCGCTTAATGGATCTTTCTCTTGCGTTTTAAGAGCCATTTCGCCCTTTCTCGTCCTGTCCTTCACTACCGTCTAGCTAGTAATCGTAGGCACCTCGCCAAGTAGATTCACTGACCGCTTCAATTAACGTTAACCGATAGCTTCCCCCTCCAGTCTTGCTCTGTGTATAAATTCATGGTAATACGAAGAGTGTTTTTAATGAATTTGCTCTCAATCACACATTAACGCTACTCGATTTAAATCTATGTATAAGGTAATTCGAATTTTCGCTTGCTTAAATATACTGAGGACATAAAAATTACAAACTTTTTACTCTCTAAAATTTTTGGAGTGGTGTCTACGAGGGATAAACCGTTGACCAAAATTGTGTATATACCAATGCTTACTAATGCCTAGTAATGCTCAAGTAATGCCCAAATTTTGCTCACTAGTGTCCTAATAATGCCCACTAATGCCTACTAATGTCCTTAATAATGCATAACCTCATATCGTTTATCATAATACACAATTCTCTTAAGTAATACCTCAAATTTATACACCGTAATGCCCTCAGCAGTTTATCCCTTGGATATAAATCTACTTTTAAATAGTAACAAAAAGTGATAATTGAGTCCATGTTGAAAGGGAGTAGCTCAATTATCAATTTTTAAGTGTGAGATTTTGCTCTTTAGAGTTAGATTCCACTCCAAAGATATTAGAGAACAATGGTTAAGCATTACATCACAGCAATCCACGTATCTTCTGATATTGATATGCGGAAAATCCCAGTTATTCACTTAAGACATAGCTTACGTGATTGCCATACAATTTAATCGGAATATTATCGTTTCTTGGAAAATCTCTTTGCCGGCAGAAACACGATTCAGTGCGAACATTGTTTGCCAAGAAATAACTCTGTAGTTTGACGAGTCGCGGCCTGGAAAAACGAGTAATGTAATTATCTCTGTCAACCGAGATCCTTCGCCTCCGACCTAGAGAGGCTCCAATTCAATCTTTGCGACAGTCATTGTTCTAGACGATGTCTTCGTTACTTGTTACTCAACGTTTACGTATTGGCTAACGCAACATGGGCGTTAGCGTATCTTAATGCATTCATTTTGCAAGACATTCGGTTCGTCTCCTTTCTCAAACTTTCTCTTTATGCATTCTGAATCCTCTGTAGAATATTTCTGGGTTCCTGAGTAGTGTATCCATCCATAGATCCTTAAGGCCTTCTGACTTTAATTTTAAATCTGGCACGGTCGATAGTGGAAGCTACTTGGCCCTGGAAGGGCCTACCAGGGAAACCTCATATAATCGTTATGGCCAAGTCAAGAACCCGCCGGAATTTGTCTGTGACTCGTAAACATGACCTTTTTCCTCTTCTTTCTTTCCTTCACTTTCATCCTTGGCTCTTATCTGCACAGTTCTCCGTTGGGATTACTTTCGAAACTTGTTTCTAATCTGCGATGCTCCAGCTAGAGAAAAAGATGATCCTTTTTGAGGAATCCTGCCATAAGTATAAATTGAAAAAAAGTTTTATCTTGACTTTCTAGTGACTATTATGAAAGAGATTACCTTAGATCCGAGAAGTAAACTGCTGACCAAGATTGTGTACATCAATATCTATTAATGCTCAGTAATGTCCAATTTTTATGTCCATTAATGTCTTAATAATGCCTATTAATGTCCTGATAATGGCCATTAATGGCCTGGTAATGTATGACCGCTTATTATAATACACAATTCTCTTAAATAATGACTCTCAAACAGGATTGCATTGTTCATCATGTTTGAAATTCTTACGTAATTATTTTGATGATAGAACAAAATTATTTTCAGAATTAAGTATATCTAATAGCTAAATTTTTTTTTAGATATTTCATCAAAATTATTCTTTTCGTTCAGACTCTGTTAGATCTCTCTAGCTTTGATGATAGCAGTTTTGAATAGTAATATTTTACGGATAATAATTCTTATATGTGCAGTGTTTCCTTTTTGCAGATAGTCGTTTTCGAAAGTAAAAACTCTCATGTCGAATGAAAAGAGATCATTTTGTTAAAGCGACGGTGATAATAACTGATAGAATAACTGAAAGCAACGATAATAACTGATAGAATTGCACAAATTTCTGCGAGGTTGAAGTTCTCTACGATTTTACGGTCTACGAGACGTGATATTAAAATTGATATTTGAAATGTTAATGACTTTGGAATCGTTATACCGTTTTTCGGGTAGTACTTTTTACACGGTAATAGAATTATTCGAAACTTTTTGGCGTGATAAACCGCTTAAATACCGCTTTAACAGCATTCTCTCATTACACTCGCGCGACGCCGCGTCTCGACTTTGGATTGCTATTTTTTTCGCGGGAGTGTGAATGAAGTTCCGGTCATGTTCCGATTGGTCCTTTCACGTACTCAACAGGTGTTTTCTCAACTTTTAACCTTCCTTAATGAGCATTTTACGAGAGTGGTGAGAGCGATCTGATTCTCTCGAGCATCGCGATCAGCGAGGAATTTTTCCACTTTCAGCAGACACTCATGTTTACTCATTTTTATTAGTAGAACAGAATCTTATTTGTTCTTTGACGTCAATAATCGTCTGGGTACATGGAAAGAACGATTTTGCTGAAACATCTAAAAATTTAGTTGCATATATATCTGAAAATAATTTTTATGCTCTAACAAAGTTATTTTCAGATCTGTAGCCGGCTAAATTTTTAAATATTGCATTGCAAAAGGAATCTGCAGATTGCATTAATTGGGATTTTTATGGAAAATAAATAATTTTAGAATTTTATCTTTAAATCTATACTAATAAAAAAAAAGTCTCGTTGCAATTGGAATTCTCGTAGATTCACCTAGAAAAATTGGACCTATTCATACATTTTAGTTGAGATAACCAGAAATCTGATTCTAAATCTAGATTCCTAATCAAAATTCGTTTGTTTGTATTTCTTATTACAATCAGAATATTTTTCTCGATATATTATAATTCTAGTCGATATAAAACCAAATATCTATACCTATTTATGATAGGAATTTTAATATAATCAGAGTCAATTTCGATTTTAATCAACATTTTTTCTCGTTGTATAAGCAAAACCGTCCTTTTTGTGTATACCAGAACGTAGAATTGACACTTTAATTAACTCTTCATGTATTTTATTCGCGCACTTTTATTTACATTGACGTAACAACTTTATTTGAAATTCGTTAAATTAAACGAAGAGATCAAAGGCAAACATGTGTATACATCAGTTTCTAAACACAGTTATTACAAAGCTAGACATGCCATCCGTTTTTTTTCGCCATGATTGAGAAGCTACCTGATCGGCTCCTCTAACAATCATAACTGTAACCGCGCGTTAGTAACCGTACGATGAGTTGCGAAGCCGCTTAGTGCCTTTGTCATCCAAGCGGAACGTAGAAGCAGAAACGGGAAGAGCTTGGAAGGGTAAAGAGGGAGAGAGAGGGAAAGCAAAGGAAAGGAAAGCGGACTGGGAAAGCAAAAGAGGGACGTAGGCAGAAAGGAAGGAGAGAAAATGGCGCCGAGTTCTTACGAGTTCGATCAGCTTTTATGATTTCAAGGTTTTTCTTTCTTTCTCTCTTTTTATCTCTCTTCGTTTCTGCCTTTCCTTTTCTCTTTCTTTGTCTCGCTTTTCTTTTTGAAGGAAGGCGCAGCCGCGAATAGAAAAGCGGATTCCGCGACTTTTCTGCAACGCGTCACGTAGCTCGTCTACCGTGTGGAATACCGTATCCGGATAGCGTTGTGCGCACTCCCAATATCGGAGAAACGTGACGCGTTGATGGACCGCGCGCGGGTGACGTGAAATATCGACTGCAATCTATGGGATTATTTACGCGCCGCGAAAATATGTATGCTTGGTTTGTGTTGCGTCTTGTAAGAATATAGTACGTAGAATTGATTAACGAGGGAACGTAGCGTCCGGATTCCGGTGGTAAATAACGTAGAAGTCGAAGAGACGTTTAAAAGATGTCCAAGAGATTACGATGCGCTTCGCAGATTTTCACGCTGTGTGGAAAGTCTGGAAGTTCTTAATCCAACATGATAATGTAGGTATTGTAAGATTTTTAATTAATTAAATTAAAAATAAGAATCAGTATTTTTTTACGCAACATCTAATATAGAGTGATGCTCGAAATGTCATCATTTAATTATCCAATTTTCCAGCTAATT